CCTCGCGGTGTTTGTTTAAAACGACGCTGCTCGCACCGTCGTCTTCCCCTTCTCGTTGTGTTTTTTTTCCCTTCTTTCTCTCTCTTTCGTCCCTTCCACTGATTCTCAGTTCAGACAGAACTCGTGGAGGAAGGAAGGTAGATGGTAGAAACGATCGAATCGCGGATGGATCGAGAGGAGATGACTCTCGATCTCCCACGCGAGAGACTTTCTCGTTCGATCGTAACAGAGATGGTGGAAAAGAAGGGAGAAGAGGGAGGAGGAGAGTGAGTTCGTCATCGGTGGCGAGCTAATTATCTCTATAAATTATCAATATCGTCGCGAGGACGAGAGACGGTCTTTTTTCGTTTCACCTGTGTGCAACGGCTGGTAACACGGCCCACCTTGAACTCTCTCCCTCCCTCCCTCCCTCCTTCTTCCTTCCACTTTCTCCCGCGCTTTTCATTAGGATCGCGTGGACGCACCGTCGCGATATCTCCCCGCAAGATCAAAGGCGAACGATAAGCCCTGTTTTATGTGGGATTCGCGTATGCGACGCGCGTCTGACCATTCTTTTACGCGGCTATTCGTGAATTGCGTGAATTTACGTATGCGACACGCGTTTTGAGTGTTTTCCTTCTTTTTTCTTTTTTATTGCCTAATATATATATATATGTGTGTGTGTGTGTGTGTGTGTGTGTTCGAGAGATAAGACACTTGTCCGACGTTTAATTTCTATTATTTTCGTTCAACTTTTCGTCGATCGTACGATTCCCCTCGTCGAAGAGAATTGGTCGCGAGGGTAACAGGAAATCATACGATAGGTGATAATTTATGGACAATTATTTTTCGAATCGAACGATGGAACGACGACATTGACGAAACGGATGTAACAATTGTGTTTATTCGCAGTTTTCGACGACGTAGATCAGAGAAGAATCTTGAAAGAAAAAGAAATTCAAAATTGTGTTGATCCTTTTGTGCTTGATCATCGATGGACTTTCTTCGAATCGAACTGATGAAACGAAAACAAATATAAAATAAATAATACAGTCGGACCCTGACTTATGTCCTCTCGGCTTGTGTTCGTTTTTTTTTTTTTATTACGCATGTCATTTTTATTAGCAATATCATTAGCATTCTATATTATATTCGTATTTACGTATTAAATTATACTGTACACACGCAATAAACGTGTATATTTTTACATATTATATTATTATTATTATTATTATTATTATACGTTCGCAAAATTTTACCCATAATAACCGGCTAAAATTTATTTTTATACTATATCTAAGAAAGTGTAAGCAAGTTTTATGGTAAATGAAACGAATGAGGGTATTATTGCGCCGATCGACGTACCGTAAATCGAAGAGGTGACGATTTATTTTTCGATAAGTATAGAAACAGTTATAATAATACGCGGGGAATTTTTTTTACATTTCTTGGAAAAAAGACAGGGAAAGCTTGTTATAAATCATCGATCTTAAATTATGAGAATTAAGAAAAGAAATTGTGCATCGAATGGAAATACGACACGTGAATATCGTGAAGAAAGGTTTAAATGTACATACCTATACATATGATCAATCGCGATTCACGAATCGTGTGCGAAAAAAGGGGTTAACCCGTAAAGGCAAATCACGAGAGGAGGATTTCGCAAGAAATTTTCATAGAAGGTCGGAAGAATGGTTCCAGATATCGGCTCAATTTTGTATTTACGACGCCACGATCAAAGGATGCCTTGGCCCTTTCGTTCTTACGACTTGTTCCGCCCGATTATCATAGAAATCGTTCCAGTAAATCAAGCAGTAACCTTGGAACCAGTTGCCCTCGCTGTTTTTCGAGGTACGCGCGTGTAATAACGAAAGAAATAGTTTCGTTTGCTCGAAACAGGTTGTGAGAGGTGACGGAATCTGGGATGGTGGTGTGGAGGCTTGAAAAGTTTTACGGTCTCCATTTTGACCGAGTAAACGCACGGGATACGAGTTTTATAACGTGCACGGTGTTAATATATTCGTATAGATACCTTTGGAGGGTTGATTGGTGGAAACTAAAAAAAGAGAAAATATTTGGGCTTGTCGTTGTTTATTGAATGATAAATTGTAAATAGTGATTGAAAAGTATAATAATAAGTAAGTAAATAAATTTAATGTATTTATTTAATAATTTATACAATTATTATATTCCTTTGGAGGGTAGATTGCGCAGAAAAGTATACGCAAAAGTTGATCGAGTGTTGTTTATCAAGTTGTAAACAATTGAAGTTCGTAGGTCTCGCTTCGCAAACTAGGATAGCGCGCTTAATAGCTTAATAAATAAACCCTTTGACTTTTGTATACCAACACTGCTTTGACCTCTAAAATGAGACGCCATCGAGACGCAAATATTAAAGAAGTAATCGAAATGTTAAGATTAATTGCGAAACAATTTCTTACACGCAAGAATTTTTTGTTTATAATAATGTCAATAGTCAAATCCTTTCTTTGAATTAAAGATAGACGAGAATAACGCGCGAGCCAATATATCTATTATCGATAGAAAAGTATGCCATCTTAATGTGTTTAAACTGTATATTGATTTTCGAGTTACGGCAAATCGAAGAAAAGACTTGAAAAGGCAGGTCTTTAGCCTCGAATCCGTTTAGAATTTATTATGCGCTTGACAGAAATTAATGACATTCATGACCCGCAAGAAAAGGTACGCCTTGAATTTCGAGCTTATTGAAACGACATACTCCCCACTTTTCAACGAAAATTGGTCGCGTCTAAATGTCCTTCGTTACCGGAAAATTTCCTGTACTACTTGCAATTAGACCGTCTTTTATTTTTTTTTTTTTTTCCTTCGTAACAAAAGAGTCGCACAAAGACGCGACTCTTAATTGTGCCACACGTTAGAGCACATTTAACAACGAAATTCTTGAGATTTGTCTCCGCCAGTTAATGGATATTGCGTCGAGAGTGTAATTTTTTTTTTGTGTACGAAATAAAAAGTTTTTTCTTTCTTTTTTTTTTCGAGATTAAAATTATTGTAGGACAGCCTACAATTCTGCGAATTCATTTGCGAAACAGAGCAACTCTTGATTACGCTTCATTTTATGAATATTTTATCTTGAAATCGATTAGTTTACAGCACTTTGAATTTATCCACAAGAATAGAACGTTTAATTACATAACATTAATATTCTCTAATACTTCTTAATAATATTGCATACCTTAATTAATTTTCTCTTTTAATAACGTTTTATTATTTATCCAATAATTTTAAATTACAAGTACTTATTAGCTTAGCTATTAACTAATATCCAACATACTTATCTATTTATTTAATGTTTCAATTATTTATTATTTCTATTTTGAATTAAATTTTATAAATATATATATATTATATTTATTTATAAACACCATAAAAATATATTTTCTCGACTTCTTGAAAATTACATTAGAAACTTCTTAGCGTTATAATATTAATATCTAACGTTTTATATAACGCTTAAAATCAATCTTATGTACGTTATAATAGTTACAAAATTACTTGTAAAATTGCTCGTATAAATATAACAAATTATGAAAAGCATTCGAATACTTTCGCGCGTGTACAACTATATCTTCATCAAAAATTCTCTGTATTGGTAAGCTTCGACGAGTTCTCGCCACAGCAACGACAATTCCCAACCGTGGTTTATCGGATGGCCGTATATTTTAATAATCAGCGACGTCAGCCGCGATTATTCACGCTTACCGGCGTTTACATAATCGAGCGACTAAGTGTTCGCCGAGATTGCCCGCTTGACGCACCACGATGATTTATCGCCAGTTAATGACTTTCGATTTCGTATTAATTATAGCAATGTGTGTCTCTCTCTCTCTCTCCCCCCCTCTCTTCTCTCGTTTTCCTCTGATTTCTGCCAATAGAAGCAGAACCGTTGATCGTTGTAGGTTCACATTGCAAAGTGTTATTACGTTCAACACCAGTTTCGTTGCGTAATCGGCCAATCGGACACTCGATAAAACAGTTGAAGTCCGATTAAAACGAGAAATGTCGCGATGTTCGATCAATCTGCTAATGTGGTTTATATATATACGTATAGTTACACTCATAAATATTGGCGGTATATGGAAACATTTCCTTAAATGATATATTATAGTCAATGTACAATTATTTTACAACGAAACATTTTTTCTTTTTTTCTAAAAATTAATATTTTATTTAGAGTTCAATTTCTATAATTATTATTATATTATCACATTGTTAAATCGTATGATTGGTGTATGCTAGTATGTGATATATATATTAGTATATAATTTAAATAATATACAAGGATATCCTCGATACAATCGGTTATTTTAATAATTACTCTTTTTAATATCTATTGTACGCTCGTAGTTGATATATATACATATCAACCATGGAAAGTTTTTAGTTAATAGATGGAATTAAAAAAAAAATTGCACCTCATCCTTGTTTTATACAAGTAGATAAATGATGTTTGGAAAATTACGAGTGTTTTTCATTTGTTTAACAAAGTGAAAAGCTATCAATTCATGTGTATCCATGAAAGTACCATTCAACAGTTTGTTTGGACAAATCAATTTCCACTTCACACCGTTAGTTGGCGAAGTTCGCGCACTTCAGAGTCCTGCAGAGTTCAAGTCACCGAGTAACTTCATTCCTTCTTAATTGCATGAACCAATTATTTATTCGAGGAATCGTTGAAATATAATTTCGAAATCTCGACACGTTATTTATACCTTTTCTATGGAAAATTTCTATGGGAAGAAAGCAAGTAATTTTTCATTTTTCTCTTTCGTTTTTCCAATGCCAATGGATTTCCCATTATTAAATATACATATTAAATTCACCTTTTACTTTATTTATTTCATGAATAAAATTAATACACGAAATATCTCGATCCATTCCACTCGAATAATGGAGACTACTCTGTTACGATTTATTAGAAACGTCTTAATTGCAAATTATTATATGTATAAAACACGATGTTTCTTCTTCTGTTGCAGCAAGAAGGAGGCCCAAGCGGACCAACGGGGATCCAGCAATGCGCCGGTTGCGGCGGTCAAATAGTAGAAAGATGGCTGTTGCTCGCAATGGATCGGTATTGGCACAACGGTTGCCTCAAGTGCTCGTACTGTGGCGCGGCACTGGCGGAAATCGGCCACTCGTGCTACACCAGGAGCGGCATGATCCTCTGCAAAAGCGACTACAGAAGGTAAGGATGCATTCATGTTTCAAACTAGCCCGAGCTTGCATTCATTCTAATGGTACGTAGATATCTTTTACGAAATTACGAAACGAGCCTATAAGGATAGGAAAAATTCGATTTTTCAAGTGGTTTCAACGCGAATGATATGGAAAAAGGAAATTGAAAAGTATAAAATGAGTAACTTGTAATTAATGATTGCTGGGGAGAAAAGGTCTGTAACGCTGCCCGCTTAATTCTTTAACACTGTGATAACCGGTTAGTTTCAAGCATAATTTTCACGTTAAGTATTAATAAAATATGTTTCTGTTATGTTTGTGGAGAAATATAATGATTTGAAAAATAAAAAAAAAAAGGTGCAAGTAATGAGCAAAGAAATGCATATAAATAAATAAATAAGTAAAACATATTGGCTATTAACTAATGGCTACGTGGCGCTAGTATCGCGTCACCGGTCATCACAGTGTTAATATGCTCATAACGTGCATTTTCCTTATTGATTTTTATGGATTCAAAAATTTTAATATCTTGCATCGTCATTCTATTCTTATTGCCACGAATAAAATTGAACATTTTAACTTTTCAAACGAAAACGGAAGATGTAATCTTAGATTAATTAGGGACTTGTTGAAGATAAGAAGAAATCTCGAAGTATAATCTTCTTTTAACGAATTTTTCTATAGTGATAAAAAAAAAAAAACTGAAACTATTGTTACACAATTTCATTAACGAACAATCAATCCACGAGATATTTAATAACTAACGTTATCTTCTTATCGTTCTATTTCCTAACATTTCTAACTAATAGATTTAGTTTATCTGAAACAGTGTAAAATATTAGATAGTATAGTTATATCTAGATATCCTTCGAAATGTAATAAACTCTGATGTTAAATATTATTCACGAATTGTTAATAATTTATACCATCGAAAGTACCATTAAAAATGTCACAATTAATCGAATTACATTTTATCCAAATTGGATTGAGCATATCAAGTTGAATTTTCAAACAGCCTTTTACACCTTTATCACAATTTATACATTTCGATTTCGACTACAAATTACAATTTCACCGTTTCTATTATCAATTGCTCGAAACTGGTGGCATTACTTAGGGGGATGACCCGATTGCTCGCCTGAAACGTCCCAGCTCGCAGCCGTTGATTGATCGCGAAACAGGATTACACGGCACGAACGTCGCGTTCCGCGCTTCATTAAATCGCAGACACGCAATTGCCCGACCGATTAATTCCGTGGCCGTGCTGCTCGTAATCGGCCTGTTCGATTATTATAACCACGCTTGCCGACTTCTTCCTCTGAAGAAAAAGTCGTAGGGAGATGTTCATCAAGGAAGAGTTGAGTCAATGAACAAAAAAAAAAAAGAAAAAGAAAAAAAAAGAAAGAAAAAGGAAACTGTTACGCGATCGGTTATATAAACCCGGGGCACGGGTTGTAGAAATTAAGGATAATAGATACGCAACATTTTCACGGTGATAAACGGGTTGGCTACGGGTGAATTAATCGCGCCACTTCCGGCGCATCGGCGATTACCGACCGAGCAGACTCGTTGGCGCCAAGTATCGTGCAATCAACATTCCGCTCGTGCAAAATAGCTGCAATCTAGGAAGCTGTCACTTCACGGTGACACTTAGCCGCTGATTATATACGCCTCTTCTTCCTTCGTCCCGCTCTTCAAACACTGTTTGCAATAACGCGCGCGTGCGGAATCACGAGTTTCTTTCATGATCGTATATTTTGTCATCGATTTCCACCGATTTGTTGTTTTTACGTAATTAATGTGGAACGAAAGGAGGAAGAGAAGGTTGGGAATTGTTTGATTATCGTGAAAAAAAAAAAATATTATTCATTTTGCGTATGATAGAAGAATTTGTAAAATCTTCTAGAAGAGGAACGAGAGGTAATGAAAATGAAGTGAGAAGATTTCTTTTTTTTTTTTGATTCGTGATATAAAAGTTCTAATAGTAGTAGTGGATCGTAAAGTGTTTTTTTAAGAGGTCGCTGCTGTCGTTCTTAGTTAATAACTTTCAGTACTCGTTTCTTTTAATGTAATTACGGTACAATATAATTACAGTGCCACTCATTTCTCTGGGAAAAAACCGTGTTAATTTCCTTAATGTTCTTTACTCTATATGGAGGTTGCCCCGAGTTATTTGAATATTATAAAAGAGAATTGAAAAAGGTTTCAGAGAGAGAAAAAAAAAAAAAAACTGTCCTAATGAATCTTTTATACTTTGCCGCTTTAGGAATATCGAAAGGCTCGTTAGAAACTTGGAAAAGTTTCCATCTACACTTTCTATTTTTTGAAAATTATAAGATAACTTTTATCGATACCAGTGTTTACTTTCTCAACTTTTATCGATACCAGTGTTTAGCAATCGAGCGTTGAACGATTCCCAAAGATCTGAAATAACGTCTCGTCGATCGCGGCTGCGGATCGATTCGATCTTCGTTTCCTTGAATGATTAAGGAAAGGAAAAAAAAAAAAAAAAAGAGAAAACCTCGTCGTTGAAAACGGTTAATCGGCGGAGACCGTTCCAAATTTAGAAGATTCGAGGTCAAAGCGCAATTTAATGAGAAACAGACGCAGAAGTTAGTTGGCATCACCTTAAAATAGATCGGCACAATCTGGCCAGGGCAGCCGGTGTGTGTACGAAATCCAATGGGTGTCCGTCCATATTTTTTCTTCTTCATCGACCTGTTAACTCACCGCGAGACGATGCTTCTTTTCATCTCTGATTAAACCTGGAAAATATACGATCCGGTCTTCGAACGAGAAACAGCACCGTAAACTGAAATTTCCTTTTTTTCTTTCTTTCTTTCTTTAACGATCTCTGATATAATTCGATAAATTTACGGTTGATTCTCATTAAAAAGGATGAACACGTATAAATTAATATTTCGAAAGTTGAAATATTATTTTTATCCTCTTTTTTTTCTTTCTCCTTCTTCCTTTTTCCTTTTTTTTTTTTTTATCGAAAGTTTCGTCATCACTCGAGAATTGATAAATTGGATAAACATGAAAGAAAGTGACACGTAGTCGAAACGAAATTGGCCGGCGTTCCGGGGATGGAACGAATTAATTAAACGGTCGACAATGAAGAAAAATATTCAGCCCCGTGGCAGTTCGAAGTAAAACGGGTCGGCTGGTCGTTATGAAATTTTATACTTCGTTTAATTAATTCCTTTATTACGATCTTCGACGGGGACTGGTTTCGGTATAGGGAAGGCTTTAAGAAACGTTCGAAATTTTCGTTCTCGTCGAGAGATGGGAAAAAATATCGAGAAGTCATCGAAAAGATAACTATAATACTTGCGATTATTATTTCTATAATTTGCATTAAATCGATTTTTTAAATCGTTTATAACTCTCAATAATTAAATATGCAACATAACGAGTAGTGTATTTCCACTTATTCTTGTCCTCAGATTATAAATGCAAACCAGTATTAAAATCGACTGATTTGCAAAAGTAATGAATTCGAGTGGAATAATCAATTTATCGTGGAATATTAAAAATGTTTTTAAACATTTTGCAAAATAAAATCTTTGGACAAACAAATTTTATCACACTCTTTTTTAAAGAGATTAGAAACACATGTATCCTAAAAATAAACGAACAAGGAAATCAATTTATTTTCAAATAATTTTATTATTTAAAACAATTCTGACTTCTGATAGAAATGTATAACAGAAAAAGAAAAAAAAAACATCCTAACTCGAATTTAAGAATTTGTAAACAATCAAAAACGTATCGAGCTCCAACTTCGTACACTCGGATAGGATAGAAAATTTCATTTTCTCCGGAATTGCAGCGGTTATAAGATTCCTCGGGAACATTTGTATTCGTGGTCATGGTAGTCCTCCTCCTCCTCCTCCTCCTCGTCGATACGATCGCGACAGACTCGTCCGCAACGGCACACACACGCCCTAATCTGTTAGCACAGTCCAACGATTTAGTCTAGCGTAGTATCAATATTTGATTACGAGGCGTCTCCGTCCCGCATGCCGGAATTGGAGACGGATTCGTCCATCTAGATGTCCAGTGGCGCGCTCCTTCGTATTTCCGGAAGTCGGTTGTCGTCGTGGAAATCGATCCGGCTGGGATCACAATGCGGGGGAAAAACGTCCCGTTAATTACGATCGCGCGTCTCCTTTGCTTCCGAGGAAATGCTTGTACATATACTTGCAAGATCTTTGGATTTGGCGAGATCGGATATTTTTTCTTCGAGAGGAGAGGAATAAATTAAAAAATTTGTTTGAGACGAAAATGTTTTGATTAGTAGAATTTGACTCGAGAGAAATAAATTGTTTTGAAATAATGGTAATAATATAAATTTCGTTTCAAATGAAGAGGTATACGGGATGCGAGGAAGAATAGAATGATTGAGAAGAAAAAGTGGGTTTTGAAAAATAGAAAATAAGTCTAGATTAAATGGCGAATAAAATATTCACATTGATTCATTTTCCGAATATGTTATTATTCAAATGTTATAATTAAAGATGAATACAGCAAATGAAGAGTAAAAATTATATTTGAATTTAGAATTTATGTATATACGTTATACTCTTGGAACTGTGTATTTTTTATGGTAAAATTAAAAGGAAATCGAAAAAGCATTGTATGTATTTTTTATTTTCACTCTGGACAGAGTTGTACAAAGTTATACCGTGGAACATCTTTCTTTGGAAATCAAAGTCAGAATCAGAAAAGTTTGAAGCGATGGAAAAATTGCATCCAAAGAGAATTTTGGAGAAGATGGTGCACTCTATCATAGATTGCAGAGGATACCCAGAACTTTAACCCAACTGATGATCGTTTCGTCACATAGGCAGTACGATAGGATACACGAGATCTCACAGGAAATTTATAAAAGAAACTTGACTCTTAAAAGAGAATAAAAAAAAAAAAAAAGAGTTGACTTTATTACACGGAACAACTATGAACAAACGTTTCAAAAACGTTTCTGAAGTTTATAAATCAAAGAAG